GGAAAATCCAGATCATCTTGTCCGATTCACCAGTGAAAGCCCTTTCTTGCAGAGTCCAACTCGCTGTTAGAGAGTTATTTTTGTGAGAAAACAGCCAGTGCTGAAAACCTGATAGGCCACCGGCCTTTACAGTCTTCCTGCTTATCTGATCCAGTTTCTGTGTCTCCAGTATCTGAATCAGTAGTGAGAAACTGCATGTGGTATTTTTTTCAGGCACTCATGACTAAGGATTTTGAAGTATGTATCAGTGACAAAACTTAATTTCCTGATGTATCACCGTGAAGTAGTGTGACAAAGCAATGGTGTTGAGGACAGGAATCAGAATAACACATCTCCCTCCTCTCCCAATGAAAAAAAAAAGGAAATGATGGAAATAGAGGACTCTTCCCTTACTAATTTAGTAACACTCCTGTTTCTTAAATTTAGAAACTGGTGCTTTGTAGTGTGAAGTTTATGAAGTTTTCCCTACTGTGAGTTGTCCTGTACCGTATTCTCCAGGTTCTCAAGACAGGGTGGTGGTGAAGTGCTGAAGGTGACCCAGCCAACCAAGGGGCTCCCACGAGTGTAAATACTGTAAATACTCTGAGGTCCACGACTGAGAAAAAATGAATAGATTTTAGTTACTAAACCAAGATACTAGCAGTAAGAGAGTATTTGTTTGCAAGGCTGAACCTGTCTCCTTACAAAATATGAAATCCCTAAGATAAGTTTTTCATTGGTCTTGTGGTTTGTGAATTGATTAATACTATATGCTTTCCTGCAACTTGAATTTTCTTCAGCTAAATATATTTGCTAATTTTTAAAAAGATAGAGCATTTTGAATTTTGATTTTAATTTTCTTGTGAAGAAGTACTATTATATCTTTTTGTTGTCAGATAGAGGCTTACATGGCTCATTGCATCTATGCATAGCAAAAATGGATCTACGATTCCCATGAAATTTCCTATGGTTCAGAATCAACACCTTTTTGAAATGTTCTCTATAAAGACTTTTTTAAAATAAGGGTTTTGTTCTTGAGAGCTAACTTTAGCATTGCCCTGTCCTTTATGATTTTGACTTGGAAATTAGCATTGCAGAGTTCAGAGACCACACTTTCCTCAAAAATATTTTCTTAAGATGCTGTGATAGCTTCAGCAACTGCTATTTTTGGACCATTTCATTTAAAATTAGTAACTTGTTGAGTTTTCATCAAGTACACTTTGTAAAGAACACATTTGAGTATTTTCTGTTTTTCTATGAATGTAGACATTTTTGCCTCTTTCTTTAAAAAGTTGAAAGTCTCTCATATTTTTCAACTTGAGGAAGATCTTATGAATTTTATTGTCTTTATCTGGATAGGTAGATATCTGGCATTTAAGGAATCTCACTGTTGACTCTAAGTCTCTGAGTTTAAAAAAGAACTTTTTTTGAATGTTTTCTGCTTGCACTAGCTTTAGTTTGTTGTTACAAATGATCACTTTGCCTTGTCCATTTTTATTTGCTATGGGACTTGGCATGATTGAGAGTTCTTCTGGGCTTTCAAAATTCAGTTGGCAATTTAACTTTGGTCTTCTGCACCTTACAGATCCAACAACCAGCTTGCCTTTTGACTGTCTTCTGGAAGTGAGGCAGGGAGACTTGAAAAATGTTATTATTGGAGGTTTTTTAATCATACTTTACCAGTGAATGGAACATTAAACAGTACAGAAAAAATTACTCTGACATGGCAGACATCATCTATTTGAATTGCTGAAGTTTTCAGGAAAGTCCAATACTAAGCATAGTTCCATAGAACTGATATTGTCTGCCTAGCTTTTCTTTTTGATATATTCCTGGTCATAATACGGATTCGTGATTGGAGGTTAAAGATGTTTTATCCTATAAGTATTGGTTCTTGTTTACAAATAATGAAATCTGTAATCTTTTTCATCCTAATTCTTGAATCATGATTCCTGTAGATGTTAAGTGTGGCATATGAAAAATGTCATTATTTTGCTGGTCACCAGATTTTCAAAGCTAGGATTCACAGGAAATACTGTTTTCCTGTAAAACATTCACTTGTCTTACTGCCTTATTCTTTTCCTGAGATAAGAAATTATAGTAATGAGAAACACATTTGCATGAGTAATAAACCTTAGAAAAGGGCATAGGAATAATTAAATGAAATAATTTTGTTGAGTAGACTTTAAAAGAAGCAGCTAACAAACCACACAGCAAGGTATTCAAGAGAATATATTTATTATTCTTTTTAGGACTAGAGTTGGACACAGGATCTCCCAAAGGAGTATGAACTGATAAATTTCTCACTTGTGATATGACAAATTACTTGCAACTTTGCTTTACTTGAATAGCCTTCACACTCAAAGGAGAGTGTTCATGTTAATATTTATTCATTTGGGCTTTTGTCATTGAAGTCATGCAACTGAAATCATTGGAGCGTTCAAATGTGATAGCTGGCTTAAACTGCTCTTCAGGCTTTCGGGTACCAGGGGAATGGCTTCAGTGTAAAATGTGAATAAAGTGGTAATGATCTTACAGAATCAGGTGATGCAGTTGTCAGGAAATCCCGTTTCCCACTATTATTTATAATAAGCCAGAAGACAGTGTAACATATGGAGGTGAAATTTTTGATGTGGAGACCACATAGACAAATGTAGTTGAGGACTGAGGAATATGGTGTGTCACTGCAAGGAAGTTTTCCAAAAAGTTAAAGAGGAAAGAGGTATTTGAAGGTGAAAGAAAAAGAATAGAAAATTCCTTCTCATATGGTACCTGAGAGATTTGAAGGAAGTCAAAGTTAAGAATCAGTATTCAAAAGTGTCATGTTGTTTTTCTAATTACTTTTTCCTCTACACTTTGAGAATTTAGGAAAATATATATTTAGGGCTGACTAATTTCTTAAGTCAGCTGACATGAAAGTACAGCTGGGCTTGAAATTGTGTCATTGAAGTCTATGAATCTTTATCTTATACTAAGCTAAAATTCATTCTTCAATGTCAGCCTCATTAAGTTCATATGTATGAATAAAGGACAGAAATTGTATTTATAAAAATGCATTAAAGTAGAATATTTTTACATAGGAATAAACATCTAAAACATTTCGTACAGATCCAACAGCACGCAAAGCTGAATTCCTTCATTTAAGGAATAATTCGGTAAATGCTATGAGAAATGGTGCGACTGGAGTTTAATATCTATCAAAATTTAGGCATGTAACAGTAAGGAAAATCTTACAACCAAAAAGATGGTTGTAAAATCTCCATGGTTTTCATTGATATGTGATCAATTTAGTAACGTGCACACACATGAAAAGTTATGTTATAATCAACTTTATAAAATAGATTACAAAGCTATTCACCAAGTGTTGTAAAATAGAAGCAACAAAATTATGTTATTTACAATAAGAGAGTAAGGAAAAATAAATTTTCTTTCTTCTTTGAAATACTTTTAATATACATCATATTCATTGCCTTTGAATGGTGAAAGGAAATGATGCACTGTGGAAAATACAAGAAGTCTGAATCAAGGGAATTGACAGGGGAAATCTCCTCTGTGTTTTAATGTTTTGTATCATTGTCCATTCATGATATTTTATTGTTTTGAATTGTTTGGTATTTGCGTAGGTTGTGTAGATTTTTATTATCTTTTTAAATTGAATGTTTATGAAAGAATAATATTATTATCTCTGCCGAGAAATGGATGAGCAACTTAAATATTGGTTCTCTAAGGAAGTATTATGTGACATATCTTTCTGTTATGTTTCTTGTCTGAAATGGAGACGATGCAACCTTCATGAAATGCATAGAACATGCACATGACCTCCCCAGTGTTCGAGTATATTTTCCCCTTAAGCTGATTTGGTTATTTAAAATTTTTTACATTGTAGAATCATAGAACCATTAAGGTTGGGAAGGCCTCTAAGATCATCAAGTCCAACTGTCAACCCAAAACCACTGTGTCAGCCATGTCCCGAAGTGCCAGGAATGTGTTTGTCTTTCATTTGCAGAACTGCTTCATGATTTATTTTGTAATACGTATTCACAATGGGTGAAGTCCAGCTGTAGCTTACAGTCTGAAAAACAAGACTGGCTTCAGCTTGTGATTTGGCACATGGAGTGTAAAGTGTGATAGGAAGTGCTTAGCCAAGAGCAGCAGAGGGGATTAGGAATTAGGACGTGGAGTTGGAAGGATAGTCAGAGTGAAAGACAGCGGGGAGTTTGGTGTCAGAGGTGTTAAGAGGGGATCAATAACATGGGCCATTAAAATAAGGATGGGGAATTGATTAAAAAGCAATGGTTAGTCAGTAAATGAAGGGATACAGAAGAAGACTAGATTGGCAAAGAAAGTGCTTTAGCACCGGGAGAATAATGAATTCTGTCAAAAGCTTAGCCACAAGGTGGAGTTTGAATCATTGGTAGTACACCTTTAAGTATTTGAATATGCTTTTACTACTAGCCAATGGAAAGGGTTGAAAGTCAGTACAGCAGAAGTGACAGTTGAAGATAATAAAATCAGAAGGCAAAGGTAAACACAAAATGAAGCTTCTGAGAAGAGTTCATAATGCCATGTATTAGTCCCAAGGAGGTTTTTAAGCCTCTAGCATGGCCTGCAGCATATACTTCATATATTGCATAATCACAGTGTGTTTTGAATATCCTTTTAATAGGCTTCATTTGCAAACTAATTTGGAAGGTGGGAAAAACTTAGTATTAATTTAATAAAATGCTTTTCTATGTACATTTTGCAATAGTGTGATTTTCTGAAATGTGGGCTATTATCATACCTTTAATGCACTTCTGTTACATTTTATAAGGCTTGACCTAAAGAAAGAAGTGAATGGTATGTTTCATTTGCTAAAGTTGTAGAGAAACTAAAAAAAAAATAGAATTATCTAGTTGATTCTACACAAACTGAGCAAAAAATGTAGATCTCTTACATGATAGAACAATATTAATTTGCCTAAGGAACTGAAGAATAGGAAGAGAAATCTCACTAATCTGAAAATGTTGTTTTGTTTCTAGGTTCAGACATTGTTCAATGGTTAACGAAGAACTTATCTATAGAAGACCCAGGTAATTTACCTTTTTTCATGTCTGAAAGTACTAGTTTGTCTTTTTAAGTGACTGGACCTGTCTTTGGCAAAGTCAACCCATCACATCCATTTCATTGGAGCAGGTACCAGGAAACAAGATGATGTCCAAGAATGAAAATGATAGCTCCTTTAACTAGTAGAAAATTAGTTTAAGTTCTATTTCATGAGGAATTTACTTAGTGTCATACTAAATAGTTCATTAAACACGTGCTGTTTTCTTAACAGAATTTTTTAATATATAAAAAATAAATAGAATTAATAAAACATGATCTTACTGTTACCGGGAGCTGCATTTCTGTTCTTAAGTTTGAACACTTTTATAGCATCTTGGATGGAAAATGAACTGTAAATAAAGTCAGTGCAGTGAGGAAGAACAGTTCATTTCTTGATCGGCTGGGTCAGAGTGTGGAAGTAAGACTTTTATTCCAGACTTTGCCACAGGTTTCTCATGTGGCCAGCAGCAAATGCAGTTTAGTGCATATCTGATATTGATTTCCTTCATTTCCAGGATTCATGTTACATGATCTGAAATATTCTAGAAAGGAATGATTTCTAGTAGAAAGTGCTGAATGGCAGAAATAAAATATTTGGTGGATGTTCTTATTATCTTTTGGTTAGGGGAAAGATAATCTTCCATCTTTAAAGAATTATAAAAAATACTCCATTTCAGACTTTTGGGAATGGAATTTATGGTGGGGTTTGTTGGTTTGGTTGGTTGGTTTTTAAATTTAAAAATGTATTTTTCTGTCACATTAGGGATGGAAGTTGTAGAATTCCAGCAAAAAGTGTGCTTAAAAAGTGTGTTTAAAAATTGTGAGTTGGATAATGAGGAGCTATTAGAATTACATAATTTTGAAGTAGCTGGTTCACAACTTATCTGGTGTGTTATTTGAAAGAGATCACTAATTGCTTTCAGTTTTGTGTAACTTTACACAGTGTCATGTTTGCTTACTGAAGATGAAGTAGAGGTTGCAAGAAACCCATGTGTGATACTGTATTTCTCAGTTGTCAGCTACCTAACACTCACCTATCTATATTTATCAGGGCTTGAAAGATTGCCATTCTATGTTTATTTGATACAGAAGCTGAACCTTTTATTTGTCAAACCAGAACTGCAATGATGGGATAGGCTGTCATTCAGATTAGCTGATTGTTGCGAAATTTGGAATAGAAGAAACCTTAAACTAAATGGAAAACATGGTTCCCTATGTTGATATCCAATTAAAATTAAACAAACACACAAACTACTAACATATGTAACCAGAACACCACAGTAATTTAATTTAAGCTGGGTTTTATCCTCTCAGATTGCATGTGTGGAAAAAACTATCCACAAAGACAAAAATGTCTCATGTGCGTTGGTCCTAGTCCAAAATCAGCTTTCTGGAGCTAGCTGGATGCAGATCTCCAGAAAGTCAACTGCCCTAAATGCTACCTTTGGTAGCACTCAGAATTGTCTGATAACAAGGAACCTGATAGATGGTGAGCAAGACCTACTCATGTGACAAAACTCCTGAAAATATTGTTTTTTTCTCTGTGTAACTTTTTGTACCAGTTCTAGACAAGACAATCAAGAACTTCCTGTGGAAAAGTCCTAAATTTCAGTGAACTGTTGTAACCATAATTTCCATTTCCAATATCTTCTGTCTACTTTTCAACAGTGTGTCAGGGTTTTGCTATGGCTGCCTTTTAAAACTCCCCCTTGGGGTCCTATTACAAAGCTCTTGTGAAGCTATGCAATTTTGTGATGCAGAAATAAATAATGGCTGTGATTGCTCTGAAAGCTATCATCTCTGTCTAATTCTGATATCAGCAACACATCTGTAAGAGCAACATAAAGTATACCTTGATTTGCGTATTTTAAGAGTATATTCTACTCTGTCCAAAAAATAAAACAACTATTTGCGCACCACATCTTTAGTAAAGCGAAGAACTAGTAAGAAGGAAGTAGCACTACCTTACATTTAAAAAATAAAAAAAATCAGTCACATTTTGTAGTGTATTTTTTTTTCCTTTGTTTTGCAAGGGGAATACAACTTCAATACTATTTAAGTGGGAACACAGAAGGCTGCCTTACGGATAGTGGGAGAACAAAAGGCAGGAGAAAGCCTGGCAGCAACATTTGCTTTCATTGTGTTAATAAGTGTAAAGCTATTATCTTGAAACTGCAATTTTGAGTAAAAAAATAGTCACAAGTATAAATTGTAGTCAAAAAACCCCTGCACATATTTCATAAATGGAAAATAATTTTCTGTGGAAGATTTGAAAGATTTTGGTTTGCTGCAATAAATCTCCATCAAGACAATAAGCTGGGGATGATGGTTGGATTCTGCTAAATTATAGCAGATTTGCAGTTATTTCAGTGGAGGAGAGTAGAGCTTGTGCCCAGAATAGATGTGCGCAATGTACAGTTGCTATTATATTATTTGCTTTTCAATCTGTACTTTTAAAATGTTTGTGTTTCAGCCTACACCTCATCTGTAAAATTTTAAGGAACAGAAATTATCTAAGTTATTTTTAATATAGAAGTTTAATTCAGTCATAAAAATAAGCCTGATCTCAGCCTAAAAAAAAACCAATTAACTGAGTTTACAGAATTGCAAGGGCTTGTGGTTTGGCGCTCAGGCATGTGTTTGTTGAATTGACCATTACAGGGTAGGTGCTGACTCTTCGCTGATGGTGCCAATTACTCTTAATGCGGAAAATCTACTCTGTTTTTCTATGTTGTGTTTTTCTTTTTTAAAGTGATGATTATTGCTGTGAAATGTACCAGACTTGACCACAATAAAGACTGAAGTCCTTTTAATCCTTAGGGGCAAAATTAGGACAAAAAGGGTAGATGAGCTGATTTAAAAGTGTCAGCTGAAACTGCCAAGAGACTAATTCTGTACTTGGTTCTTGCCCTGTTTTCTTCGATGCCCTTTGGCCAGACACTTGATTTCTCTATTCCGTAGCATTCCAACATGCTAATGGTAAATCTTGCTGTTGTCTTTTTCTGGGGAGAAACACCAGTCTCAGTCTTCAAGTATTTTCCTAATGAAATGTGTTATGCACAAAAACACATTTAATCCTTGTCAGCTCACAAAGAATTTCTGTCTAGGTGGCTCAGAGCCTTTAAGAGTTGATGTGTTAAGCCATCATTCCCTTGTTCCTTTACAGTACCTTTGCTGCTGAGTGCTCCTTATTTAAGTTGCTCATATTTGCAAAGCCAGTTGAATTTGGCTGAAGGTACTTCACTGTTGGATGGTTACTCTGGCAAAGCCACAATGCTGCAGCCAGCTCCAGAATGCGCAGCCTTCGCATGCAACTTGCCTTGGTCCAGCTCATTTGGGCAGTCTGTTGGAGTTTGCTGCTGCTCTTGAACATCAGGAACTACACTAAAGTCAAATATGTATGACTAAATCAAACTTTGTAAGTTGTAAAACAAGGCAGTACCTTGAAACAGACACACTCCTGTGATTTTTCAACATCAGTTCTTGCCTCTAATAAATTTTTTACTGCACCGATGTAGCTAATTTCTAGCTAGATGCCCAGCAGCAACCATGTAAACTGTAGTCCCTGATCTAGTGCAATAAAAATGGAGGACTCAGTAGCACAACATCTGTTTGTATTTCTTCCACCTTTCCTTCTTTTCCTTTGTAGTAAAATATCTCTTGAGCAGCTGCTTTATTAATAATGACCTTGATAATACACACTATTTGCTCTAAAGAGTTAAAGGAAAGATATTAGGGTTTGTATTTGAGTTTACAAAAGTGTACTTGAAAAAGTGGTCAGCTCTGAGTTATTCCTATCCCTTTCCCCATGCATACGCAGTAAGGTAGCAGCAAAGAATAGGAGCCAGACGAGATGTTCTATACCATTGCCGTTTGGGAGACAGCACCAGGCAGCTGCAAGTGAAGGGAAGGTTGTTCCAGGGTTTGCTAATGGAGAAAAGAGCTTCTTATGAAAAGGAAGAAAGAAGGGAATGGAAAGGTCATGCCTATGTTTGCAGTCTTTGCATTAATGAAAACTTGTGGAAATAGAACAAGAGTAGAATGCGTCCCATTTATCAGCTTAATAAAAAAAAAAAGCTGATAAAAGTAGTTGATGCTGCCTGCATACATACCATAACCCTCATACTAGTAACACAAGGCACTTTTTTTCATTTGTCTAACAGAAACTGGGGCACATTTTGTTCTGTGAGGCAAACCTCATGAACCTTTGTCAAGTCTAGTGTAAATAACTTTCTAACTTTCTTCTACTGGCTGAATTTGATTTGAGCTTGTCAGGTCCTGTAACATTTAAATGGAATAATCACTTTAATTTCAGATGAATGGAAAGAAAGTAAAACTCAAATCCTACTTGGGAGTAGAAAATGTCAAAATTTACAGAGACTGCTTTAGTTTCAATAGTATTAATGTTTTGATACACAAGCAAAATAAAAATGTATGGGTCAGTTTTCCTTTAGTTATGTGTATCATGGGTGGCACTTACCTGTGGGTGGTAGTCAGTGGGCTTTTAGCCACTGCTGGGGTTTCAGGACTGCAATGGTAAATGTTCACATGCATGAGTTATTTTATTTGCCCAAAGCATTTAGATAGGTTTTGGAAATGGTGAACAGAGGTATATTGCCTGTAATTCAATTGTGTCAGGATAAATCAGATTTAATGGATTTCATGGTTTTGAATTGAAGCTTTTTCCAGTTTTGTGTAATCTGTGTAGGCTGCATGTGTTGGGAGTATCTCCCAAGAGCACACAGAGCAGCAGGGCCAGCCTGGAGTGAGCTCCCACTCTACACACGTGCCAGCACAGTTTAAGCAGCCCTGTTTCCATGTAGTCCTGACGGTGAGTACCAGGTCCCTAGGTTGGCCAGTTTATTTTCCCTCTTGCAGATAGCTGGTAGGCTGCATCAGTGCTCATTTCCAATGTCCTTTCAAGGAGCAGTCATTTCTTTAAAAATAGGATTATGGCAGCTGGTTAAAAATGAACAGTTTTTTACAC